GAGAGAGAGAGAGAGAGAGAGAGAGAGAGAGAGAGAGAACCTTTGCAGCAAAATTTTCAGTGAGAATCGCGTGATCGCGAATCATGATACCGCGCGTATGAAAGCTGACGTAACGAATGACGCGATCGCGCGCGACGCTTCGCTAGCCAATGGAGACGCAGGTGTAAGCCATGTTTCAAATTTTTCGACAAATAGATGAGCATCGTCCGATGCGAAATCGCGCGATTCAATACGATTTCAATGTCGCATGGTCGCGTGTGCGAGACAAAACGATAATGCAAAATTGCATCATCGTTCACAAATAAGAAATGCAAGCTTTAGAAGCTTTGATTCTTAGAAATACTCTGTGAGTATACGGTACTGGCTTTCGTTCTTGCATTATCGATGGTAATCAATTGTGAACGGTAAACGGTAATCTGACGCGTAGCGCGTAGGTAGACCGGTAGTAAATCAAATATGTATGAAGCGTGATATCGCGAAACTTCGTGCTTCTTCACTTATGTCTTGCGTCTTGCGTTTCATGCGTCTTGTGAATTTTTCGCAAGCACAGAGTTTCTAGAGGTTTTCACTGGCGTCATTAAAGGTATTAGATCGCCACACTAGCGCATTAAAGAAACAATAATAAGAGTGGATCGCGCAATAACATAAAATATACAATTTTACGCAAGTGACGCAAGCTTAACGCGTTCGAATGACTTGCATCTACCATTCGAGGATATACTTTGCATGAAAATGAAGTCCATCGGACTCGAACTCGAACTCGGATACGGGCATGAACAATTAGCTCGTACGCGAATTTGTATCGCGCGCTTCGATTTCGTCCAACTCACTAAACTTGATCAACCCATATTTTTAACTGCACCTTACCAATAAAATGCAATTTTATCGCCGTTTCCACTCTTTACATTTTTATCGAGTAAATTGAAGCTTATGTTTGTCGACGCTCCTTCCATCCACTTGATGAAAACATCACCTTTACTCAGATCGAAATTGTACGAAAAGAACTTGTCATCTATCGCTGGCGTTTCCCAGTAAAACTGTTTAGCGATTTCACCCCAGAACTGCACCGGATCCTGTATAGATCTAAAGGAGGAAAACAACAAAGAACAATATATATCAACTTGAATAATATATATCCGTGTATATCGGCATTACTATACGCATTCACTCCTCTTCGCATC